ACCTGTTTTCCCCTTCCTGGTTTTCAGTGAGGTTGTTCTACACATTTCTCCACCCCCGCCCCTTCCCCCTGCTTCTTCCCTTCCTCCTACCCTCCCTGACCAGCGGTGCTCAGGGCTCATTCCTAGCTTTGTGCTCAGGGATTATTCCTGGGTAGGACAAAGGGACCATACACAGTGTGGGGACTGAACCCAGGTCAACTACCTGTAAAGCACCTGTCTTACCCACTCTATTGTTTTCAGCCTGGTCCTCCATTTCTAATATAGGTTCTTTTTCATTGTCTGCATTTCACTCAGGGCCCCTTGACCTAAATGAAGTTTTTGATTTTTTAAATTTTTAAATTTAAAATTTTTTTTTTATTTTTGAAGTTTTTTGTTTCTTTGTTTTAGGGCCATATCTGGCAATGTTCAGGGATTACTTCTGTCTCTGCACTCAGGAATTTCTCCTGGAGGTGCTCAGGGGACCACATGGGATGCTGGGGATTGAACATAGGTTGGCCACATGCAAGGGAAGAGCTCTACCTGTTGTACTATCTCTCCAGTCCCCCAAATGAATTTCTTAAATGTGTGTAAATTATTTTTTATTTATTTATTTTTTTTGCTTTTTGGGTCACACCCGGCAATGCACAAGGGTTACTCCTGGCTCTGCACTCAGAAACCACCCCTGGCGGTTACTCAGGGGACCATGTGGGATGCTGGGAATCGAACCCGGGTCGGCCGCGTGTAAGGCAAACGCCCTACCCACTGTGCTCTCACTCCAGCCCCAATGTATGTAAATGATTAAGACTCAGTCTTTAGGGGGAGGAGAGCACAGCGGGTAAGGTGCTCGCCTTGCATGCACCTGCCCTGAGTTAGGTCCTCAGCACCCCGTGTGGTCACCCACTCCGTTCCAAGATGAACCCCTAAGTGCAAATTCACTAGTAAGCCCTGAGCTCTGTGGGGTGTGGCTAGAAACTCAAACAAAATTCACTCTTCATACTATAAAGCTGTGCAGATTTACGAACCTTTTGTCTTATTCTCTCTCTCTCTCTCTCTCTCCCCCCCTGCCCCTCCCTCTCCATCTCCCCCTCTTTCTTCCCCCTCTTTTCCTCTCCCTCGCCCATTTAAGGCTAATGCTCTCTACAGCTGACCTGCACCCCATCTCAGTCCAGTTTCTTACAGTTAAGAGTTTAGTTAATTGGGTAATTCTTACGGTCTGCTCCAGTAGCTAATCTATCCACTGATCTATTTACCAATCCTATAGTTTTGACCCTATAGTAGCACTGTAGCACTGTCCCCCCATTGTTCATCGATTTGCTCGAATGGGCACCAGTAACATCTCCACTGTGAGACTTGTTGTTACTGTTTTTGGCGTGTCATTTTCGGGGGCAGGAGATTATCACAAACACACCACGGGGAGCTTGCCCGGCTCTGCCGCGCAGGCGGGATACTCTCGGTAGCTTGCCAGGCTTGGAGAGGGACGGAGGAATCGAACCTGGGTGGGTTGCATGCAAGGAAATGCCTTACCCGCTGCGCTGTCACTCCAGCCCGTCAGAGATAGCGGTTAAGGCATTTGTTTGCACATATCTGACCTGGATTCGATCCTTGGCCCTACTGATGTGATCTAGAGGACTTCCTTCACTTAGCAATATGCATTTAGATTTATTTCTGACTCTTCCTGTTTTTCTCTTATTGCTGAAAATTGTTGCCTTTGATGGATATACAACAGTTTATCCATTCACCTTTTACAGCACAGCTTAGTTACTTCAGTGATTCTGAATAAAACTGCTATATACATTTGCATGCATGTTATGTGGACATATGTTTTTAAGAGTATAGGGTTGGTGGCTGGGGATGAAAGAGTTATAAAGCACATGTTAAAAGGCCCAGGACTCAATCCCTGGCACCCGAAAAACAAACAAAAATACCCAGAAATATGCATTTTAGATCATACGGTAAGACTAACTTTGTACAGAACTACCAAATTGATTCCAAAGTGACTTCACCATTTTCTTCTCCTACAATTGATACCATCAATGAATGACAACTACTGTTAACTCCACCTCTTGGTAGTCACTGATATTGACAGTGTTTTTGGTCTCAGCCATTCCAATAGATGCTCCAGTATGTCATTAATTCAAAACCTCTAGTTCTCTGAGCTCTATAGCTTAGTGAGAATAAGGCAAGAAATGGGATTTGGTTTCCATTAATAGTAAACTAACCATGGGGTGGTAGAATTCTGGGAAGAACCTATTCCAGTTTTCTCCTTTTTTTATTTTATTGCTTGCTGAAGACAATGAGAAATTGGTCTGAAACATTCCAGAGGATTCAACTGGAAGTTATATAAAGTGCAGAAGGATGCAATTACTCTAGTATTCTACATTGAACTGTTGAGTGATCGAACTCTTTATATTTTGGCTGGATGCTGGTGATATAGTTACAGATAAATCAGATGTAATCTTGTCCTCACTTAACCAACAGTCTGGGGGTGATTGTTACATACAATGCACAGCAATCAAGCTGTGACGAGAGAGGAGCAGGGTGTTGTCGGACACTAAGGGTAGGACATCTGGTCAGTCTAGGAGGGAACAGAGTAGACTACTTTGAAGTAAGCTCTAAATTGTGACCTCCAGGGGCTGAAATGATAGTACAGCAGCTAGGGTGTTTGCCTTGCATGCAGCTGACCTGGGTTCGATCCCCAGGATCCCATATCGTCCCCCAAGCACCGCCAGGGGTGACTCCTGAGTACAGAGCCAGGAGTAACCGTTACTCTGAGCATCACTAGGTATGACCCTAGAAGCAGGGGAAAAAAAAGTGGCCTCCAGAGGGACTGACTCTATAGTTCCAGGGCCAAATTCAGTCACCTGGGTTAGTCCAACCCATGAGCTAAGAATAGTTTTCACTTTGGGAATGTGGAACAGGATTCCGGCCATGTCCAGCTGTGCTCAGGGTCTGTTCCTGGCTCTGTGCTCAGGAGTGACCCCTAGTGGTGTTCGGGGAACCACACATGGTGGTGCCAGGGATGGAACTTGGGTCTGTTGGATGCAAAGCAAGTGCCTCCCCCCCTGTTCTGTCTCTCTTGCCCCAGTTTTCACGTGTTTAAATGTTTGAAAATAATTGAGTAGCATGTATAGGGGAAGTTATATAACAGTTAAATTTTGGTGTCCATAAATGTTTATGCTCATGACTGCTTTTATGCCCCAACAGCAGAGTTGAGTAGTTACAATAGGACATTTACATTCTGGTCCTTTGCACAGAAATTTTGTGGCTCCCTGGCCACAGGATGGACTGAACTTAGCCATATAAAGCAGAGTAAGACAGAGGGACTGGTTGCTGAGAGGGTAGTAAACTGGAATATACTTAGAGTATGACGTTCAGGGAGGTAGTGATCCTGCCAGAGGTAAGCAGGGTCCAGATTGGGAAGAAATTTGGCAGTGATGTGAGGGGAAGGGTTTGAGTTTCATTAGTGGGGAGCTTTTAAAGGGGTATGTGTGTGTGTGTGTGTGTGTGTGTGTGAGAGAGAGAGAGAGAGAGAGAGAGAGAGAGAGAGAGACAGAAAGAGATGATGATGATGATGCTCAGGTCTAACTCTTAGCTCTCTACTTAGAAATTGCACCTGGCAATGCTTTGGTGCTTTGGGGACCATACGGGTTGCTGGGGATTGAACCCGGGTCCACTGAGTGCAAGTCAAGTACTCTACCCACTGTACTATTACTTCGATCCTGCTTTTTATTTATTTATTTTAAACGGTTTCATTTTATTTATTATTTATCTTTTTGGGTCATACCCAGTGATGCTCAGGAGTTACTCCTGGCTCTGCACTCAGGAATTACTTCTGGTGGTGCTTGGGGAACCATATAGGATGCTAGGGTTTGAACTCCAGTCAGCCACAAGTTAGGCCTATGTATGCCCCATCCACTGTGCTATCGCTCTGGCCCTGGATCCTGCTTTTTAGAGGATTTTAATTAATGTGATCACATTTACTCTTTTCAGAGTTTAATTCTCTGGCCAGAATGTGGAGATTGGGGTAGAGAGTATAGGTGAGAAAGGAAGTAGGAAGACTAGTTGAAGTTTTCTTGTTTGCTTTTTGGGCCAAACCCTGTTGTGTTTGGGAATACTCAGGCTCAGTGTGTGGGGTAATTTCCTGGTGTGTTCAGGAGGTCAGGTAGTGCTGAGGATTGAAACTGGACCCTCCTTAGGCTAAGCATGTGCTCTGACCCCTCAAGCTACTCTCTGACCCTAATTGAGGTTTTTGCCGTCATTCAAGGGAAATGTTGGTAACTTAGTCTAGTATTTGCAAAGGGTAGGAATATATTGACTAGCGAGACATTTAGAAAGTCAAAAAGAAAAGCTTTGGCAATTGATTGGAAGCATGGGCATGTAAATATCTCTGTTTAAACAGATTTTTTTTAACTCCAAAGTTTGTGTTTCCTTGTTCATGTGAACATGGTTGAGAAATCCATGTTTAGTAAGAGTCTTCCGAGCAGAATTCTTGAGTGATGTCTCACTGCTCCGGGGCTCCCTGTTCCTTAAGTTGTCCTACAGTACTAGTTCTCTGACCTCTGAGCTTTTCCCTATGGCGTGAGATTTCGGTTCTACGGAACAGAGGAGCTATTGGTGGGTTAATTTGCTTTCTCTCTCTCAACATTTCTTCGTGGTTGTGCCCAAGGATTGATTGAACGAGGGTGAATCATGTGTAAGCACACATTGCTTAGAAAGCAGAGAGGGAAAAGGCCGGGCTTCTGCTGAAGAAGCTGTGGTCTGTATGTCAGAGTGCCTGTTTGTATGTTTATATTTATTTATTTTGCCAAACCCAGCAATTCTCAGGAGTTCTTCCTGGATCTGCACTCAGGAGTCACTCCTAGTGGTGCTTGGGCACCTGGGGTGCTAGGGTGCTGGGGATTGAATCTGGATTGGCTGTGAGCAAGGCAAATAACCTACCACTACCACTGTACTATCTCTCCGGCCCCCCGCCCCCCCCCCCCTCCAGATCAGCGTATTTTAATGCTTCCCTCTCCCTGTAGGTGCTTCTCACTTGGACAGTTCGAGGCCAAATGGGAAAGGCCTGCTTGTGGACCAGAGCCCATGCAGTCAGGATAAACCAGAAAACCTGCCCACAAGGTAATGCAGCCCTCCTGCCTCTGTGCTCAGGGCACCATGTTTTCTCACTACAGAGCTGGGGTCATTCCTGTGCGGGATGATGCCCACTCTCCCGGGCTCTCTTATTTATTCTTACTTTATTGTCATTTGCTGTATATGCCAAACACCATGCAATTACATAGACTTCTTCTAACCTAAGAGTTATCATTGTCTTCCCCCATTGTACAGTCTAGGAAACTCAGGTGAAGAGATGTTATTTATAACTTCCCCAATACCCACAACTAGTAATTGCCAGACCTAAGATCTGAAGTTGGCAGCCTGGCTCTAACTTAGGAAGAAAAAAGAGCAGAAACGTTTTGAGTTTTCTCTTCTGTCTTTTGTTGTTGTTGTTGTTGTCATCTGGGGGGTGAAGTGGGGAAGGAGTTCATTTCTTCCTCAGCCAGTATTCAGGGGTCCTGAGAGTGTGAACCTGGTGATGGGGTATCGCTTGGACCCTGCATGCTGGGGGCCACCCTGTGGTGCTTGTCCTTCCATACTTTTTTTGGAGGGGTGGGGAGGCACATCTAGTGGTGCTCAGGAGTTATTCCTGCTCCTGAGGTCAGGGATCACTGCTGGCAGACTCAGAGGACCATATGGGGTTCCAGGGATCGAACCTGGGTTGGCTGCATGCAAGGCAAGTGTCCTACCCACTGTAATATTATCTCCAGCCCCATTGTCCCGCCCATTCTTTTTTTTTATTTTTTAAATTTTATTTAAAAAATTTTTTTATTAGTGAAACACCATGAGGTACAGTTGTAGACTTATAAATTTTTGTGCTTGGGTTTCAGTTATACAATGATCGAGTACCTATCCCTCCACCAGTGCCCATTTTCCACCACCACTGATCCCAGTATCCCTCCCACCCTCATACCCCCCCCCCCCCCCCCACTCTCTGGCAGGCTATGTAGCTGTTAGAAAAGATGAAGTCATGAAATTTACATACAAGTGGTACTACATGGAAAGTATCATGCTAAGCGAAATGAGTCAGAAAGAGAGGGACAGACATAGAAAGATTGCATTCATCTGGGGAACATAAAGTAACAAAATAGGAGACTAACACCCAAGAATAGCTGAGATAAGTACCAGGAGGTTCACTCCATGACTTGGAGGCCAGCCGCACATGCTAGGGGAAAAGGCAGCTCAGAGAGAGAAGGGAGCACCAAATAAGGGGTGTTGGGAGGGTCCTCCCAGGATGGGAGATGCATGCTGAAAGTAGACTATAGACCGCATATGATTGCCACTCAATGCCTCTTTTGCAAACCACAGCACCCAAAAGGAGAGAGAGAACAAAAGGGAATGCCCTCCCATTCTTTTAGGAGCTTTCTGAGTGTAAAAATACTTCCTTTTCCTATTTTTATTTACTCCGAAGTATGTTACTGATATGCTGGTATATTTTGCTTGAACTCCAGTGCCTCTACAGTTGTTAGCCAGAACCAGGTGGTCAAGATATAACAGTACCACCTTCTTTTTTAAGGAGGTCGGGGAGTTGTTGGGCTTATAAACCCTGTGGTACTCTGGAACTGCACCCAGTTCTGTACTCAGGGAACCATATGCTGTTCCAGGAGTTCAGCTGGGCCAGCCACATGCATACCCCTGTACTGTCTCTCGGTCTAGTACTATGTTCTTATTTTGTCCTTTTTGTCAGTCTTTTAGTTATGCAATTAAGCAATAAGGAACATAGTTTTCTCCTAGCTTTGAGAGAGAGAGAGAGAGAGAGAGAGAGAGAGAGAGAGAGAGAGAGAGAGAGAGAGAAGAAAAGCATCTGTCATAGAGGCAGACTGGAAAGAGGTGATGGGAGGTAAACTGGGGACATTGGTGGTGGGAGAAGTACACTGGTGAAGGGACAGGTGTTGGAACATGGTATGGCTGGAACCCAATCATGAACAGTTTTGTAACTGTTTCTCATGGTGATTCAATTAAAAAAGTCTAAGAATAAATGTAAAACCTAGTTTTCAATAAAAATTGTTTTTCACTATTTTGCCTCCTCCTGAAACATTTTCTGTGAGGAAAGACCTGGAGTGCCAGTGCCAAGGGGAGGACTGACTTTTACTTTTCCTGCAAAGAATGACTTTTTGCTTCAGCCTGGGTCCACGGCTCCCCAAGAACTCAGGTGGTGGGACCAGCTCCTGGGCTGTGTAAAAAAGTGGCCTTCCGATGCAGCTTGATGGCTTCCTCAGGGGACCAGGGAGATGCAAGGTGCTCACAGATGCTCATCCACACTTTGCCAGTCCTAACCCATACCAGGCATTTCCCTGGTGGCCTGGTGGGTCCAGTAGAGAGGTGGAAGCAGTGTTTGCTCAAGGCTGCCCCCCTCGCTCTCCACTTCACTAAGTCACCCACATTCTCATGTGTGCAGAGAACTCCAAGCCAAGGCAATTTGGAAAAATTGTATATAACCCTCCCAAAGTCCTTTTTCCACTCTAGAGAAATCCATATTCTTTCTCTCTGTGAACCATTCTCTCTTCATTTTTCTTTGCTCTCCCATTTCTTTCTTTCTTTGGGGTTTGGGGTGGGTGAGGGGGTGGCAGTGCTCAGGGGTTTACTCCTGGCTGCGCTCAGGTATTACTCCTGGCAGGCACGGGGAACCGTATAGGGTGCCAGAGACTAAACCTCAGTTTTCCACGTGCAAGACAAGTGCCCTACCTGCTGCACAATCTCTCTTGCTCCTGCCCTCTCATTTCTCTAAGTGAATTTCTTTAAATGGACTACTTCACTTAAAAAAAAAACCTGGCATTTAATTTTTAGTGTGATCATTAAAAATATATAAATATAACAAAATACAATATTTTATTGCCTTTTTCTCTTATTTTTATTCCTCTGGAATAGATACAGCAGGCTGGAGCGATAGCACAGCGGTAGGGCGTTTGCTTTGCACGCTGCCAACATGGCCAACCCGAGTTCGATTCCTCCGCCCCTCTCGGAGATCCCGGCAAGCTACCGAGAGTATTCGATATGCCAAACACAGTAACAACAAAGTCTCCAATGGAGACGTTACTGGGCCCGCTCGAGCAAATCGATGATCAATGGGAGGGCCTTTACCTTTTAGATACAGCAGAACTATCAAGATCCAAGGACCTGGATAAGTTTTATAGCTTTATAGGTGTGAAACGCATGCTCCAAAAAGAGCTCTACCAGGTCTGAGTGCTAATTCCTGCTGTGCCTCCTTCTCGCTGGGGGGATCCCTGATGATACTGGGGCTCATTTTTCTCCTTTGAAATATGAAGGGATTCTCTTCGATCCCAAAGTTCCCTCTGGTCTGAGAGTTTGTGATCATGTGACCAGAAAGTCTCTGGCACCCATGCAGTCTATGATCAACGGCACATCAGTTTACTTAAGTTCACACAGAAATAGTGTCTTCACAGTGAGTTTTGCTTGATGGTCTCTCCTTTTTCTGGATTGCAGAGGGCTTTTTGTGTGTGGAAACTCACAGCTCTGTATTCGCGCAGTCTTGAAGGACTCACCAAAATGAGATAATGTTCTTTTGTTTTTCTAGACAGACCAAAACCAAGTCTGAAATTTCCGAGATGGTTCGCTCCTCCACAGTCACGGTGTCCGACAAGGCTCATATGCTGTCCGTGCAGCAGTTCGGGTTGCGAGACACTATGGTGAAGTCACAGCTGGTGCAGAGGGAGGAAGACTACACCTACATCCAGAACTTCAGGTAGCTCACTGGGCTTCGGGCTGTTGGCCACGCAATATGATCATTCAGCCCTCTGCATTTCAGCACCCACTTCCCCAGGTGTGGGGTGCCCGTGGAGCCGCCTGTTAGAGACCCTCGCCTGAGTGGCTCCTTTTCACGTGTCACGAATGGGGCTTTACCTTCTGCTTTTTGTTTTTCTTTTTTTTAAAAAAACATTTATTGAGCTCATTCTAGTGGCTACAAATTTATATTTTTATATTGTGTGAATGGGAGTAGGATTGGGATTTGACCAGTTTTTTTTTTTTCTTTTTGGGTCACACCAGGTGATTCTCAGGAGATGCTCCTGGCTCTGCGCTCAGGAATTACTCCTGGCAGTGCTCAGGGGACCATATGGGATGCTTGAGATTGAACCCGGTTCAGCTGCGTGCAAGACAAACGCCCTACCTGCTTGCTGTCGCTCCAGCCCCTACCCGCTACCTTTTCTGATCAGGTTCCATAGATGGGCCGGGAGACTGCGAGTGACGTAGCTCTCAAAGAGCGATAGGAATATTTGAAGCACTTCCTGCAGAAGGAGCCGTGTCCTGATTTTTGTGTGTCCCTCCATCATTCTGGGCCTTTGAAGAAAGTCATTTAAATTTCGGTCAAATGATGCTGGTGTTTTGTAATATTTTTAGGCAAGATAATGAAGTTAAATGAATAAATTTTTTGTTTTTGTTTTTGTTTAATTTATGTTTTTGGACCGTAATTGGTGGTGCTCAGGGATTACTCCTGACTCTGTGCTCAGGAATTACTCCTAGTGGGGCTTGGGGGATCAGATGGGTTACCAGGGATCAGACCTGGGTTGGCTGCATGCAGTGCCCTAACGTGCTGTACTCTTGTTCATGGCAGCATCCTTACAGTAGACAAGATCTGGAAACAACCCAGTTTCCCCACAGTGAGTGGATAAGAAATAAGGGTCTGTATACACAGTGGAATAGTACTCAGCTGTGAGAAAAGTTGAAACTTTGCAGTTGGCTGCAACATGAATGGAACTGGAGGTTGTCATGCTCAGTGAAGAGAAAAAGGGAAAGTCAAACAGAAGGTGATCTTGTTCATATGCAGAAGAGCAGGAAGTAAAGCAAGGGATTAGGTAGTCCCCAGTGGAAACAGGCCCTGAGATGTTGTCAGCACCACTGTGAACAGAGGATGCAGAGACCAGTGGGGATGGGGCCTTGGGATAATGGTGGAGGAGGGGTCTTGACACTGTGGTAGTAGGCTTGGTGTAGGAGCACTGCAAGTACAAAACAGTAATATCAGTGCTCTTGTAAATGACTCTATCTCCATGGAGGCAACCGTTTTGAAAACAAAATCAGGGCTGGAGCGATAGTACAGTGGGTAGGGCATTTGCCTTGCACGTGGTGTGTTCTGGGTTTGATCCCTGGCATCCTGTATGGTCACCTGAGCACCAAGCACCACCAGGAGTAATTTCCTGAGTTCAGAGCCAGGAGTAACTCCTTAACATTACTGGTGTAACCCAAAAAGTAAAAAAAAAAAAAAAAAGGGAAACAAAATATAACAGGAATGTTCAGAGGTTTAGAGTGGCCTATCCTCTTTGAGGTATAAAAGTAACCAAACCACGGCAGCTTGCTTCTCTGCTAGATTATTTTTTCGGGGGAGGCATTAGGGGTGTTGGGGCTACACCTGGCTCTGCACTCAGAAATCACTCCTGGGGAGTTTGGAGGCCTATATGTGTCAGGGACTGGGCCAAGGTCAGCTGCGTACATGGCACCTTTTGTATTATCTCTCCGGCTCCTGCAGTGTCTACCTTAGATAACATCTTATGTTTTAAATTCCACACCAGCACTACCAACACGTCGTCCAAATCATCGTGAAATGCTTTCTTCTGTCATTTCCACAGACCTTCCCAGTGACTGATGATTCTCTCTGGTGACAGGTTTTTTGTGGGAACATACAACGTGAACGGTCAGTCCCCCAAAGAATGCCTCAAGCCCTGGCTCTGCGATGAAATCCAAGCCCCAGACGTGTACTGTGTAGGGTAAGCGTTTCTCTCCCCTCTCCTTCCACAGAGCAGACAGGCACTGGCAGGGCTGTCTCTCACCTGGGGCCATGACTCTGAGAGTCTTCCCCTGCAGGTGACAGAATTGCAATGCCCATGTGCTTATTAATTGCTGCTTTTCTGTCTGGTGGCTTTCCTCCTATCCTCCTTTTCTCTTGTAAACAAATTCCTAGAACTAGGAAGAGATGTGCTTAGCATTTAATCTAATGTTTCATTTTCAGTGCGATCCTCTGTTAAAGTCAGTGGACCTTGAGCTGAATTTCATCACTTAGACATTCAACACTTTGCTGGTTATAAGTAAAGTAAAAAGTAAAGGCCCTCCCATTGATCATCGATTTGCTCGAGCAGGCCCAGTAACGTCTCCATTGGAGACTTTGTTGTTACTGTGTCTGGCATATCGAATACGTCACGGGTGGCTTGCCAGGCTCTGCCGTGAGGGCGAGATACTCTCGGGAGCTTGCCGGGCTCTCCGAGAGGGGCGGAGGAATCGAACTCGGGTCGGCCCTGTTGGCTGCGTGCAAGGCAAACGCGCTACCGCTGTGCTATCGCTCCAGCTGGTTATAAAGCAAAAATATCTTTTACCAGGGAAGGAAGGTTAGCTTTTTTCAAAACAAAGATTCTGTCAGTTACCCCCTTTTGACACCACACTTTTTTTCACCACTGTACTAAGCATTGTTGGTAGAGACGGGACAGCAAAGAGTTCTGCATGGTAAAATGGAGAGGACTTAGAATTTGGAATTTATGCAGATCTGGGTTGGAACTCCCTTGCTACACTGTGTTATAACTGGTACCTTGGAGGTGACATAAAGATGTTTCCAACGACTTCACAGACTGACTGTGGAGGGAAAGTAGACTCTTACGAGAGTTCCTTGTCATTTAGCAACCTGGCTCAAAGTGTTTCCTTTTCTGGTGGGGTGTTTGGCTCAGTGATAGAGCATTCACCTCCCATATGTGAAGCTCTGGGTTCATCTCCAGCAACGCCAAAAAAAAAAGTTTCTTTTTCTTTCTTTCATCTTCTTTTTTTTTTTTTTAATTTTTGCCAGTCACACCCGGCAATGCACAGGGTTTACTCCTGGCTCTGCCCTCAGGAATTACTCCTGGCGGTGCTTGGGGAACCCTATGGGATGCTGGAAATCGAACCCGGGCTGGCCGAACCGAAGGCAAATGCCCTACCTACCGTGCTATCGCTCCAGCCCCTCTTTTTCTCTCGTGAGGGTCCAGCAGTGTAGCTAGAAAATAAAAACTTAAGCCCCTGCATCAGTTTGATAATGTGTCATCTTGCTCATCCCCTTTCTCCACTGTCTGACTTGTTGCTTCTCCCAATAGGTTCCAGGAACTCGATCTGAGTAAAGAAGCCTTTTTTTTCCACGACGCCCCAAAGGAGGAAGAGTGGTTTAAAGCTGTATCAGAGGCTCTTCATCCAGAGGCCAAATATGCAAAGGTAAGAGAAGAATCAGTCATCTGTTAATTTTATGTGATCCAGCAGGGCAATTCTAACCATAGTTTCCCACTTTTCTGTAACCTTTTATCATAACCAGTCCTGATCACCTGCCATTCGCAGTACCAGATGCTTCAGAAGGGCAGAAGGGCCCCCCTGTGTCAGAGTAATGTAGCCCAGGGCACTGCAAGAGGTTCAGGTTATCACAGAGCTTGCCCCTGTGTGTCAGACAGGTCATCTCCCCTGTGTCTTCCTGCAGAGGGCACCCGGCTTGGTGTGGTTTTGGGCCCTCAACCGGCAATACTTGGGGGTTCCTCCAGGCTTTGCACTCAGGAATCACTCCTGTCGGTGCACAGGGGAACCATAGGAGAAGCTGGGATCAAACGTGGGTAGGCTGCATATAAGGCAAGAGCCTTTCCCGCTGTACTATCTCTCCATCCCAATGTTTATTTATTTATTTATTTATTTGCTTTTTGGGTCACACCCGGTGATGCTCAGGGGTTACTCCTGGCTCATGCACTCAGGAATTGCTCCTGGCGGTGCTCAGGGGACCATATGGGGTGCTGGGAATCGAACCTGTGTCGGTCATGTTGGCTGCATGCAAGGCAAAAGCCCTACCCGCTGTGCTATCGCTCCAGCCCCCTCAATGTTTATTTATTAAGTTTATTTTTGTTAGTTGTTTGTTTTTGGACCACACCCAGTGATGCTCAGTGGTTACTCCTGGCTCTGCACTCAGGAATCACTCCTGGCAGGACTTGAGGGACCATATGGGATGCCAGGGATTGAACCCAGGTTGGCCATGTGCAAGACAAGTGCCCTACCCGCTATGCTATCTCTTTCCCCCTATTTATTTTTTGTATATATATATTTTTTTTTTTAGTTTGCAGGGGGAACTTACCTGGTGGTACTCAGGGAACCATGCCTTGCTGGGGATTGAACCCAGGCCTCCTGCCTGCAAAGCATGTGCTCAGCCTGTTGAACTATTTCTCTAGCTCCCTGACTGCTGTTTAACACCGTGGCCTGTATGTTTGGCTTCCTTGTCCAGGTGAAGCTCATCCGACTGGTTGGGATTATGCTTCTGCTCTATGTCAAACAGGAACATGCAGCACACGTCTCAGAAGTGGAAGCTGAGACGGTGGGGACAGGAATCATGGGCAGGATGGTAAGTTTCTGGTTGGTCTATCTGGTGCATTGGAGGCCTCGGTCCCCAAGCCTTTGGCCCTGCATCTCACCGTCTCACTGCAGTAATGAGTGCAGTTGTACCAGGTTGAGGGTGAGGCCTGACCAGAAGGCTAGGTTCAGCAACCTGTTTAAAGGCTGTGTTTCAGCAGTGACTGCTCTGCTCAGCTGGCTCAGATCCTCACGTGCATCCCTCTCTAGGGTCGCTAGCTGGATTTCCCGTCTAATCCATGAAAAAATGTTGCGGGAAATATGACGGGTCCCCACAGGAAAGAAAGCATGCCAATAGTTTACAAATTCTTCTTCTTTATTTATTTTGGGATGAGGGGGTGGCCACAAAGGTTGGGTCACACCCAGCAGAGCTCAGCTGGGAGCTTGAGGGTTGTTTCTGGTGATGGTTGGGGGGTGATGCAGTGGCAGGGATTGAGCCTGGGCCCCCTGCATGCTCAGCACGTGCACAAGCCCTGTGAGCTGTCCCCCCAGCCCAGCTTCCTCTCCCTGAAGCTCTTCAGGTGCTGTCGTAGTATCTACGTTAGACGCTTAGCTGCATGTGGTAAAGGAGTGCATGTGGCTGGCTTGTGGTTTCGTGGCACACATGCTCAGCTCTGCCTCTGACTGCTCGTCCTTTCACCTTCTGGAATTTGGTTTTTGTGTCTGTGAAATGAGGGTAACATCTCTGCCTTGCCTCTCTCCCCAAATTGCTTGAGGTTATGTTTTTCTTATTATTACGGGAAAACCTTTTGAAAGTTTTCAAGTTGGTTATTTTTCTTTGTTTGGGGGCCACACCAGTGGCCACCAGTGATGCTTAGGGTTCACTCCTGGCTCTGCACTCAGGAATCACTCCTGGTAGTGTTCGGGGTGGTCACTGGGATGCCGGGGATCAAACCCAAGTTTGCCGCATGCAAGGCAAATCCCTACCCGCTCTACTATTGCTCCAGCCACGAAAGCTTGCAGGTTGGAATGACTGACACGGTCAAGTTGTGAATTAGATTTTGGGGGGGCCCTTTCCCTAGGGTAACAAAGGAGGTGTGGCCATCAGGTTCCAGCTCCACAATACCAGCATCTGCATCGTGAACTCTCACCTGGCAGCCCACACAGAAGAGTACGAGAGGAGGAACCAGGACTATAAGGACATTTGTTCTCGGATGCAGTTTTGTCAGGCCGACCCCAGCCTCCCTCCGCTCACCATCAGCAGGCACGAGTGAGTCCAGGCTTCTCCCCACTGACTCACTGCTCTGCCGGCACAGAGCGATGGGTGCTGTCTTGCGGGAGTGGGGTGGACACAGCCCCCAGCACATGGGATACCTGCTGGCAATGCTAAGGGACTGAATTGGGCTCCCACTGGCGAAACGTGTCCTCCAGCGTTGTGAGTTGTTTCCTGGCCCTGACTCTCATTTCCTTTGGGTGGGGTTGGCCAGAGGCTGCCCACTGCTGGAGCCAGAACTCTAGTTCGTGCTTAGTTCCAGGTGAATCGTATCTCTTGGAAATGCTTAGTTCTACATGTGCCATCGTCATCATCGCTTGTCCCTAGAAGGCGTCTAAGATTGGTTCTAGGGTGGGCCTGCCTTGATCCATCAGGAGGAAAGCAAATAAAGAGAGACCACCAGAAATGTGTTTCAGGATTTGATGCATCTTTTCTTTCTCAAAGCATATGTAATTGTGGATTGGGATGCCTTGTTTGCCTTCCTAAGTCTTACACCTAATCACCTAAGTCTTACACCTAATTTAGAGGATTATAGCTGCGGATCCTTAGAGCATCTTCATCTTCGGCTGACTTTTCTCTTTTCTTTATCCATTTGTCTCTAAAGCTTCCTGTATGTCTAAAGTCAGGGTGTAGAAGGATGGCAGACTTAAAGGTAATGCATGAAGCCTGTGCCACGTAATTGATAAAGAATGGGCCACGGGGCCTGCCAGGGACCTAGAGGCCAGCCTCTCATCCTGCCCACTGTGGCAGTGGGGCGTTCTTGAGCTCATTGGTGTCCTAGAAGCTGCCAGGGTGGCATTCCTTCTCCCAGGAACCTGCCAGGGAGCCTTCTGGCCTGCTGGTCCTGCAGCATCGTGGCTGAGACTGCGGCGTGCGTGTCTGTCTCCCTGCTCTGAATTTGCGGCTGCGTTTCCTTTGGGGTGTGTAGACCATTGTACGGATTCTCTAATGGCCCAATCACTGGTCTCAGGCAGGGAGCAGTATTGGACTTAGAAGGTGTCCAACTTAGAGGCTCATCTGGGGGCTGCCGGTTAACTTCCTCCCCATAGCAGATATGGTAGAACATGGTAGAACACCTATCACACTGCAAAAAAGAGCTGAGCGCAGACATGGTGGTGGTTCTGCCCAGCCCCAGTGGGAAGGTCGAGCTTTGTTTCAGAGGGACTCGAATCTGGAAATCAAGGTGACCAAGAGTGCGTTTCTCAAGGTAGACGCCCCAGCCTGGTTTGGGTCCCTGGGAGATCAACATTGCTTTCAATACTTGGACTTGATTGATTTTTTCCCCCCCAGGAATGAGGTGAAGTGTCCTGGCCTTGGCGATTTTGTCAGGCTGCCTTTGTAGCTGTGTAAGAAGGTTCCCAAAGAGAACTCAAGGCTTTTTATAAGGGACTTGGACCAAGCTAATTAAGTAAAGCGTGTGTTAGGTGTGGTACTAAATGGATTAGTGGGAGCAAAATCAAGCTTCCGGCTGCCAAGAGATTGAGCCCCAGGGATCTTCTGTCAGAAGCTGGCTAGGACAGGCCAAGCCCCTGACAAACCTGTGACCTTTGTGCTCTGTCCCCACAGTGTGATCTTGTGGCTGGGGGACCTCAACTACAGGATAGAAGAGCTGGATGTGGAAAAAGTGAAAAAGCTGATCGAAGAGAAGGCCTTTCAAACCCTGTATGGGTATGATCAGGTACCGTTGGCCACTGCGCCCTCTTCAGGCAGCTGCACCTTCCCTGAGAGGACTCAGAGAAGCCTGGCTTCCCCCCTCACATCCTTCTTCCTTGACCTCCACCTCAGCCCCTCAGCCGGGGAGTTCTCCTGCAGAGCTGGCGGTCTGCGTTTCTTCCTCTCATCTCTGCTCCTTCTTTTCCTCTTGTCTCTCTGTTGCTCTCTGAGGCACTCGGCTCCCTTGGGAGCCACTCTTACCCGTGTTTATTCATTCATTGATTCATTCATTCATTGACTCATTCGTTGATTCATTCATTCATCCATATTGGGGTTAAAAGTGTCCCAAGCTTCTCACAAAGAAGAACCGATACATTTAAGGTAATTGGCTTAATTTTGAGCGAGACTTCTGCTCTCTCCTTCCCTCTCCTCACTGAATGACAGCTCTTTCCCTGAGTGATTCAGTCCTGAGAGGAATCAGTTCTGGAACCTGCTGTTCTCCACCCTGGCTGGGGCTTGAGTTTTCCTTAGCACATTAGCTTTTTTCACGGGACAAGTGGAGTCTGTTGCACCCTGACTTTCCTCAGCTTACTCCCCTCAGCAGATTTCAAAATTGTTCAAGTAGTCAGTTCATTTTTCTTTTTAGTCTCTCTGTTCCTTTTAAAACCTTCCTATAGAATTAATATAAATCTTGTTTTTGGCTGTATCTATCAATAGAGGTTGCATCTGGCTCAGGGGATCACGTGGCATTGAACCCGGGCCTCCTGCATACAGCATGCTCTCAGTCCATTGAACTGTCTCTCTGTTGCTAATCTAAATCTTTCCTCCCCTCAGTCCCCAGTGCAGGTCAATTGAAGGGGGGGGAGGGGGAGAACCCTCATTTTGTCATGACTTTCATTATGGAATAATCTCTTTATTGATTCATTTTCCTCTTCAGCTCTTTTCCTTGGTAAGTTACTTTTATTCCGTTTAATCCCCCTTTCAGCATTATTTTGCTTGTCTAACTGTTCTATAATGACCTCTCCGTTCTGAGCTTAGACCTTCTAATTTCCCTGGAGTCTGAGACCCAGCTCCTCCGCCTTCCCGTCTGGTCTCTCCTCAAGCAGTAGCACTCGGTTTGTGTGTTCTCTGCTTTCTGGAAGGTTTTAAGTTCTGGCTCTGCCCATTGAAGAGGCATCAACGTACACTAACACATCTTTATTATTTCCTGAGACTTTTCCTTCAGTAGTTTCATTTTAGGAATTCCTGTTTCGGGTAACTTGGCACTTGTTGCTCCCTGGGAGCTGACCCTGTCCCCACCATTAGCACTGCAACTCTTCCCCAGTCCAGAGGGAGAAAACATGGTCTCATGGGGAGGAGGCACCTGTGGGTTTTTTCTTTTTTTTGCTTTTTTTTTGAGGGGGGGTCAAACCCAGCAATGCTCAGGGGTTACTCCTGGCTCTGCACTCAGAAATTACTCCTGGCGGTGCTTGGGGGACCATATGGGATGATGGGGATCGAACCCAGGTCGGCTGCATGCAAGGCAAATGCCCTACCCGCTGTACTACCACTCCGACCCCGCCTGTGGGTTTTTTCCTCTCACAGAGCTATGTTCTGTTTCAGACCCTGTTCTAAGGTGAAAGTTTATTGTTTTTCCCCCAGCATACCCGGGAAGTAAATTTTATTAGAAATCTTGGGGAGACCAAGGCCCAGAGTCTCCTCGGTTTATGTAATGAATATGACAAACTCAGTTCTCTCGTTGCCGTTGACGACGAGGGGAAGAAACAGTTGTCTCTCCATGCTTAATGCTCACAGAGACATCACAATAAGACGCCCTGGGGTTTGGGTCCACTCTTAGCAAGGCCTTAATTAACTGCTGTCCAGTGTGGCCGAGGGGTGGTCCACCTGCCCTCTCCCTCGGCCCCAGCAAACTCGGGCATTTTGCAGAATAGCATCCCCTTGGCTTTTCCCTTTGGAGTTGGGTTCACGGATTCATGTTTCCTCCACTCTGTCAAGATGTGACCTTTTTATTCTGAGAGGCTTTTTCTCTCGCCTCCTGTATAGCTGAGAGCTCAGATGGCTGCGGGGGCTGTCTTTGAAGGCTTCACGGAGGGGGAGCTCACATTCCAGCCCACCTATAAGTACGACACCGGCTCCAACGACTGGGACACCAGGTAGGTCAGTGGCTGCTTGGGCTGGTGGAGCGGAAGGAAACTCAGGTATTTTCAGAGACACCCTCAAGGCACCAGGAAGCAGCCAGATTTCCTGTGGCATCGTCTCAGTGCTTGCTTCTCCTGTGAGACAGCTCCTCTCTGCGTCTGCCCCTTCGGCTCTGCCTTCTCGCGTGTTTTCTCTTTGTCTTAGCCTTTCTTCCACGTCTTCCCTGACACTGATTTATTTCCTTTCCAGCTATGGTAGAGGAATCAGATGCTTCTAGCCAACTGAGCTTGTCCCTCAATAGTAGTTGATCATTTTCAGCAGCGCTGACAGAATTCCAGCCACTGTTGAACGCAGTTTATTTTTATGATTTCGTTTAACTTTCCCAACAACTTGTTGAGGTTAGATATTATTTTTTAATCCTCATTTTTACAAGTCCCGAAATTGAGGCATGGAAAAATTCAAGGCCCTTCCTTTTCGTTTCAGTTGTTTGGGGCGGGGGTGAGGAGTGGGTGTCACACCTGGCAGTGCTCAAGGGATAATCCCAGCATGGCACTTGGGGGTGGGGCTGGCAAGTGCTGTTGGGGATTGAACTCTGGGCTTCCGCATCAAAGCGTGCGCAGCAGCAGTGTAAACCATCTCCCTAACCCCTAAAGTAAACTTGTTCAAGCCACCAAGTGAGAGAGCCAGAATTTGGACAGAGGCAGTAAGAATTCAGAACCCCTGAAGACAGTGTCCTCCTCCCCCTTCCCTTTGTGACTGGTGGATGCAGTTGCCCAATGACATTGGCTGTAGGGACTTGCACACACTTGGTCACTTGGGGGTGGTACCAGGGATCACCAACAGCCTTGCCTTGGGATCGCTCATGGCAGAGGGGCAGTGCTGAGGTCAAGCTCTCAGCTTCATGCATGTAAGGCAGATGCCTTATAGCTGAGGCTTCCCCCATGCCCCCTACCCGTCCCCATAGGCTTTAATCACCAACTTTTTTTTTGGGGGTCACACCCGGTGATGCTCAGGGGTTACTCCTGGCTTTGCACTCAGGAATCACCCCTGGCAGCGCCCTTGGGGGACCATATGGGATGCTGGGAATCGAACCCGGGTCAGCCGCATGCAAGGCAAACGCCCTACCCGCTGTGCTATTGCTCCAGCCCCTAATCACCAACTTTTAAAAACCAGAGAGTACTACTCAGCTGATTCTTTCTTTCGACCCATACCGGATCCCCAAAGGCGGGTGAAGAACAGAGAGTCGTTCAGAGCGATGCTTGGCTTCCAGCTGTCATGGTTATGAGGCGGTCCCCAGGGGACGCATGCGACCCCGAGAACAGGCCCGAGTGACTTCTGCTCTCTCACACCATGGGCCACGTGCACGCAGAGGCTCTCCTCTCCATCCTGGTGCTGAGCCAGATGCTCTTGGGGTGGGGGCGCTGCTGTGTGGGGCAGGCTCCCACGGTAAACTTTGCCTTTCAGTGAGAAGTGTCGGGCTCCTGCCTGGTGCGACCGGATCCTCTGGAAAGGCAAGAACATCACGCAGCTGAGTTACCAGAGCCACATGGCCCTGAAGACCAGTGACCACAAGCCTGTCAGCTCAGTGTTTGACATTGGGGTAGGTGGGCTGCAGGTTCCTGTTGCTCGTAACTGCTCTGTAGGGACTTTGTTCTCACAACCAAGACGCGTCTGGTAATTCTGGTCTCCTTCCTCCATCACTGTGGTGGTCTGTGGCTATTTGTAGGATAACACTCTTTTGTCCTTCCTCAAGTAGTTTAGGTTTGTCAGGTCACACCCATCTAAGAACACTGAACTTGTATTGTAAGCAATGTCCTTTCTGTGTGGACACAGGAAGACAGTTAATATTATGCTTTGTAACTTGGGAGTTGATTGACTCCGAGTAATATTTACTCCTGGGCATCTGATTTCTTGACTCAGTTGCCCTTAGTTCCTAGCACCCCAAAAGCAGGGTCCCGACGAGGGACTGAATGGACCCAGGGCAAGCAGTGAGCTACCCTGGCATCGAAATGGGCCAGGCCAAAGAGCCACGATACTCAACTATAAGTTGAGGGCATGATCATAGACAAATGCTGTCATGATCCAAAAGTAAGTAACGACGAGACTAGGACCCTGCTGGAGCTAGGAAGATTAACCTGGCCTGAGGACTGCGAAATGTATAGTGAGATGTTCTCAGGAAGAACCAAACTAAATTTATATCTCTTACTGTGCTCATACAGAATGACATTGCTAGAAATATTAGAAGTAGATTTATTACAACTATTTAAGTAGATTACTAACTGAAGGAAGAACACACCCTTGTTGGGATCCCACCCTTGGGTGGATCTCCTGGTAATCTGAAGTAATCTCTGTAGATGAGATTTTATCCTTGAGTTAATCTCCTGGAGGAGTGGTCTTACCTCTCTTTGTTGATTCGTCAGTATTCAACCCACCTTTATGTCACCGCCTTATGTGACTGCTATATAAACTAAGACGTAAGCTTGAAAATGGGTGAGAAGTGGGAGAGCTCGGGCTCCAGAGATCCAGAGTCAGAGCCAGAAGGAGAGAGCTTCCAAGACTGGGGCCCAGGAGAGAAGGAGGCAGAGAAAGACAGGAGTGAAGAGGATTGGAATAAACTACTGTTGATATAGACCGGCCTGGCCCCCGTTTTTTCTTCCGTTGGCCCTTGGCCAACAGCCGTTCCGATCCAGGCCACACACAGTGGCTCAAGAGCACCGAACGCAGGCGGTGAAACAGTGCCGTCCAGTGAGCCCGTGAACATACAACCTTCGGCGTGATAAGATTTTACAGCCATTGACCTGGGCTCCCACATACCAAGTATGTACTCAGCTCTCTGAGGACTCTGGGGCCCAGGAAGCTCCTTTAAAAAGCCATTTTAATTAAAGATGAATAATTGTATTGGTGTACTTCTATGTATTTCTACATGCATAGAGCACAGAAGCTCCCATTGCCTTTTTCTTTTTTTTTTTTTTTTTTTTTTTTTTGGCTCTTGGCCCCACCGGGCATTGCTCAGGGGCCCTTATGGGGTGCCAGAGATCAAACCTGGGTTGGCTGTGTGCATGGCAATGCCCTCCCTGCTGTATTATCTCTCTGGCCCCTGGGAATCGAACCTGGGTCAGCCATGTGCAAGGCAAATGCCCTCCCCGCTGGGCGATCGCTCGAGCCCCTCCATATCTTTTTCTGTGTATTTACAAATAACACATTCTATACATTTTACCTTCTATCACATTCTACATATGATAGAAGGAATATTTTTCTTCGTTTGTAAAGAGATGACGTAGTACCTATTGCTCTGAGACCAGACTGTGTCCTGGGAGAGCTTTTGATGTTAAAAAAGAGATCGCAGGAATGGAGGCCCCACCTATGGTCCTCCAGGCACCACCAGAAGTGGCCCCTGAGGGACCAGAGTGGTAGTACAGTGGGAGCTCACTTATTGTGCGTTCACAAAATAAATTTTGGGGGCTGCTGCTGCAACATGTGTGCATTCAGTGGCCCAGAGCTGCCTCCCTGCCGCCCTACCTCCCCACGCCCCATCTCCCCACGGCTCCCCAACAGAGAGACAGGGGAGCGGGAAGACAGGGGACCACAGCCTGATGGTGAAAATGGCCCATTTAAAATGCAGAGTTGCTAGCATATTTATAGAACATCTGAAAGGGGGGTTGAGGTAAGGACATAGGTGTGATTGGTCATTTCCATAGATAAACATTTGGCAGAGGAAATTCTCTTGGGGAGATCAACTCAAGAAGACACTCTGTCTCCCAGAGATATCTACATTGCTTTTATCTTTCCCTCTAGTTGCGTAAGTTATCAATACTTGCAGTTGTTTGGATAAACACAGTAAGAGACAAAGATCCCAACACTTAGTTCTCTGGGCTCTGAGAGCAAACAAGGCTTTTAAACCCTAAATCCCAGACTAAGTCCTCGGGCCAGTTCAGCTTGTCCTTACTCATGGCTGTCCTGTCTCTTGAGTTGCAACAGTTTGCATCAAGACCATGCATTTCTGCTTTCTGGAATGTCTCATTTCCATGGCAGGTAGCTTTGCCACTTGCCCCAGGTCCATCCCAGTCCCACATCAGGACCTCCCTTTTGGGGTGTTAGGAACTAAAGCAACTAAAACCTGAAGCAGTTAATTATGACAAAGTAATTAAGGCCAGGAGCAGATATACTTCAGAGTCAATCAACTCTCAAATAGTAGAAGCATAGCATTAATGGTCTTTCTGTGTTTAACCAAAGAACATTGCTCTATAGTAAAATATAAAAAAACTATCGGGGAAATAGAAAAGCAGGTACAACTATACAGCACTTCAAATACAAAATAGTGTAAATACAAAGTCCAGACTTACCAGAAAGTTTTGGCTTATAAATGATCAGGACTGACTTGGGAAACTGTGACAATGAGAGGTGAAATACAAGGGACAGGTTAAAGATAAACTTTAACTAAATTAGGGATGCTAGCAAGAGCATGTTAAGCCCCTCTGGGAGGAAGAAAAGGGGCAATTCATTGGTGAAGCCTAAAGCGCTTAGGGTTAATATCCAACACAAAGGAAAGGTTGAAGATAGACTTTAACCAAATTAGGGATGTTAGCGAGGGCATAGTAATCTTCACTGGGAGGAGGAAAGGGGCAGTTCACCATTGAAGCCTAAAACACTTAAATCACCCCTGAGCACTGAGCCAGGAGTAACCTCTGAGTATTGCCAAATATTGCTCACTCCCTACACTCCTAAAAAATACAACTGAGATCCCTCCTCAGTTTTATTTTTCTTTCCTTTTTTTTTTTTGTGGGTGTGGCACAGGAGGTGGTATTTGGGAGATACCCAGAATGTTCAGGGCTTACTCATCATTCTGTAGTTATGGATTACTCCCAGTAAGGTGCTCAGGGGACCTTACGGTGCCTGGGATTGAACCATGTTTGGTAGCATGCAAGTCAAGTGCCTTCACCCCCATACTTTCTCTGTAGCTCCGCATTTTACACACTTCTGCCAATTCCATATGAGCTTATTTCCCCACACCCTGCCTAATAGAGACTGTTATCTGTCTTCCACATTTCTGTCAGTTCCGTGAGAAAACACAGAGAGAAAGAGATTTAGTGGTTTTTAGGTTTCGTTTCCCTGACTGCTGGTGATGTTGAGTCTCACTTTTCTGTTTGTAGCTCCTCATCTGTGACTTTGTGTTTCTTTATGGGGCCAGTGCTCAAGAATGCCGATAGAGTAAATCAGGACTTGTGAGGGTGAGGGGAGTTTGAAAGAAGCCTAGTGAATGCTGTAGTTAATTTTTTATTAATGGGAAATGACAAAAATTGTGTTTATAATTCAAAATGCAAAAGAGGGGGCTGGAGCAATAGCACAGCGGGTAGGGCGTTTGCCTTGCACGTGGCCAACCCGGGTTCGATTCCCAGCATCCCATATGGTCCCCTGAGCACTGCCAGGGGTAATTCCTGAGTGCAGAGCCAGGAGTAACCCCTGTGCATCACCGGGTGTGACTCAAAAAGCCAAAAAAAAAAAAAAATACAAAAGGGAAAGCCTGACAAAATTTTTGGATGATGGAGCACAGGCTAAAAAATTTGCTCAGAAAATTTAAAAAAAAAAAGCAAAATAAGGGAGCCGGAGTGATAGCACAGTGGGTAGGGCATTTGCCTAGCATGCGGTTGACTGGGGTTCAATCCCCAACATCCCATATGGTCCCCCGAGTACCGCCAGGAGTAATTCCTGAGTGCAGAGCCAGGAGTAACCCCTGAGCATTGCCGGGTGTGACCCAAAAAGCAAAAAAAAAAAAAAGAAAAAAAAGAAATGCTCAGTACTGCCTTAAATCCAACCCCCACAGAAGTTTCTTGCGGAAAGCCCATTGGCAACAGCAGATGACAGAGAGTGAGACCCTGCCTGACTGCCTGAGCAGCTTTACTTGGGGCCGGAGACTTGGCAGAACGGCCCTGAGGGCTTTCACTCTTGTATCTTCTTTCTGCTCCTGAGAAGATTCTGTACTGGGGACTGCTATATAGGGTGCCAGGATCAGCCCCATAATTTTTTTTAATCTTCTGTTTTGATTTTGGGACACACCTGGTGATGGTCAGGGCTTATTCTTAGCTCTGAGCTTAGGGATCACTCTTAGTGGTGCTCAGGGTGGGGTGCTAGGGATCGAACTGGGGTCAGCCACATGCAAGGCAAGCGTCTTACCTGCTGTATTATTTCTCCAGCCTGGAATTCTTTGTTAATTATCCTAGTTAGCTTTCCTTTCTTTCTGTACACCTAACAGCTTCTATTTTCCAGGGCTTTCCACCCCCCAGTGCTCAATGTCTGACGTTTTACCTTCCAGGTCAGGGTGGTCAATGAAGAAATTTACCGGAAGACTCTGGAGGAGATTGTTCGCTCCCTGGATAAGATGGAAAATGCCAGCATTCCTTCTGTGTCTCTCTCCAAGCGAGAGGTAGCAAGGGCAGATCAAGCATATTGACATCGGGCTTCTCTATTCGTGGAACTTTAGTTTTATTTACTAGGGCTCAGAATTCCGGGAAGCACCTGTCTGACTCTTGACCTCTGGTTTTATCAATGGCTGCTTCCAGGGGAAGTGTAGCTGATGTGGCCAGAGAAGGGAGGGGTTGGTGGTTTAGGTTATATTCATCTCCTTATCTTCTAAACCAGAAGCCTTTAACCCTTTGTCACTCCTCTGTTTCACCCACACATGTGCTTTCCATTAGTTAAATAACGGCAAATGATCCTAAGTGGGTTTTGTTTGAGTGTGACAGTGTGACTGGTGTATATTCTTGCAATGTGCTTGCCTTCTTTTGAATGTTCTGCTTTAATTTTTGTTTGCTGTGGGGTCACATCCTGCAGTGCTCAGGGACTGCTCCGGGCTTGGTACTGAGGTACTGACCATGTAGTGCCAGTGATTAAACATGGGGCTCAGTCCTTTGAGCTGTCTCCCCAGCTCAGGAAATTTAGGCTCAGTTTAACTTGGCCAAAGCTGATCCTTAACTTTGATCAAGACTAGCAGTCTGAATTTCTTGGCTATACATGAGTTGATGGGAAGTAAGGCAGTAGAGAAATATCATGGGCAGTGGAAGAAATGAAATTACAGCTAATGATTTTTGAAGGAAGAGCCACAGCTTATACCATTCAATATTGGCAATACCAAGACTTCATTCAAAATGGGGATTTATGGTAGGGCAGTTATTATAATCCTCCAGGTACTCTGCTACCAGAAGGGTGAGCTTGCTTTTTATGACTGGGGGTGGAATTCTTGTAGGATAATTTAGAAATAATGTAAATTTAAATTTTGATTCCTTTAGGAAATGTATAAAAATAGCATGAGGTTTCGAAAATGGGCACTGGTGGAGGGATGGGTATCTGATCATTGTATGGTCGAAACCCAAGCACAAAAAATAGTAAATCTACAACTTTACCTCATGGTGTTTCACTAATAAAAATTTTTTTTAAAAATTAAAAAAAAATAGCATGAGGTTTTGAGTTTTCTGGGTTAAACACAGATAGCTAACCTCAAATAGTAGCTAAGGCTTCCCGGGTAAACATTTGAAGCAGATTGGGATGATTGGGAAGAGTGGGTTCTTTTTCTTGCCAGAATGGAATTGCCCTGCTGGGATGGCTAATGGGTCTCTGAGAAGTAGGCTTGAGTCTAACTGGTCGCTGGCTGGTTCTCAGTTCTGTTTTCAGAATGTGAAGTTTATGGAATTGAAAATAGAAACCTTTGTGATTCATAATGGACAAGTTCCCTGTCATTTTGAATTCATCAACAAGCCTGACGAAAAGTGGTACTGTAAGCAGTGGCTGAACGTCAACCCCAGCAGAGGCTACCTCCTGCCAGGTATGGTCTTGGCCTCTCAGTCCCAGTTGCCAGTTTGGAGAACATTCCACTCTGTCTGCTCTTTTACTAAATAAGCTGTTTCTGGGTGTGTTGTTTTGTTTACTTGAAGCTTTCTGGAAGCCCTCTGGATGAACCACCTGTAACTTACATATAAAATCGTGAGGAGCGTGAGTTCAGTTTCAGAAGCATTCTCAGTCATGTATGCATTTCATCATTTCACGGAAAAATACAAACTTGCTGTGAAGCAGATGCTGCCATTTCCTGGAATTGCTTCCACTGTCTGCCTCACTGTAGCCATCCCCCAACCATCAGCTCTCGTGGGAAGGGCTCAGGGCGCGTAATCCAGACATTGTACCTGGCTCTGGAATGTCCCACCCGTTTTCTTCCCCTAACTCCTTTGTGCTATGCCTTGTGCGATGTGGCAGAGGGATTAAACCTGTTTTGTGGACCATTCACAAGCTGGTAATTGCACAATATTTTCTATCGGATCAGATGTCTTTGTCTGACCTACTTAAGACAATTTCTTTGATCCATGCCTTCTCCTTCCATTATAATTTCTAACTTGAGCTGTGATACTTAATACTTGAATTTTATAGCATCTGCCTATTTGTTTCCTTAAACATGTTTTTGTTTTTTTTCTATGTCCAGTTAGCCTAGAAACTCCTTGAGTCTCTTATGCGCTGGCAGGCACATAGATAATTGTTGTGTTTTTATTTTTAAAATTGTTTTTCATTTTTGGGTCACACCCAAATATGCTCAGGGGTTACTCCTGGTTTTGCACTCAGGGATTTTGCCTGATGGTGCTCAGGAGCCATATGAGATTCTGAGGATTGAATCCAGGTCAGCTGCATGCAAGGCAAGTGCTTTACCCGCTGTACATAAGTAATTGTTGTCTTTTAAATATTTTATTTATTTATTTATTTATTTTGGGGTCATATCCGGCAATGCACAGGGGATACTCCTGGCTCTGCACTCAGGAATTACTCCTGGTGGTGCTCAGGGGACCATAAGGGACGCTGGGAATTGAACCCAGGTCAGCCACATGCAAGGCAAATGCCCTACCCGCTGTGCTATTGCTCCGGCCCCGATTTATTATTATTTTTTTAAATATTCATTCTAGACAAAAGTCACAACTGTTGATAAATTCTAGAGTTGAAATTGAGTAGATAACAAAGCTCCAATATTAAAATCAATAAAAGGTAAAGGCCCTCCCGTTGTTCATCGATTTGCTCGAGCGGGCCCAGTAACATCTCCATTGGAGACTTTGTTGTTGCTGTGTTTGGCATATCGAATACATCACAGGTAGCTTGCCAGGCTCTGCCGTGTGGGCGAGATACTCTCGGTAGCTTGCCAGGCTCTCCGAGAGGGGCGGAGGAATCGAACTCGGGTCGGCCATGTTGGCTGCATGCCAGGCAAACGCCCTACCGCTGTGCTACTGCTCCAGCCCAAATCAATAAATATAAAAAATTCAATTTTTTGTAGAAATTATTTTATCACAAGGTATTAAGTCCTTATCTAAGGACATTTACTAGACAGTTGCTAGTTAAGCCTTTCATGTTACTATTTTTGTTTGTTAGTTTACTTGGCTTCTGTGTTACTCTCCTGTCTAATTTGGTGTGCTCCTACTGGAATTTCAGTATTGAGGAATTCCAAGACTCCAGGATCTACGATCTGGGCCAATGAGTTGATATGGAGTGGGAGGTGGGCGTGATTGTTGGGGCTTCCAGAAGTACAGGAAGGAGTGGGAGGCTGACCACCTCCACTCGGAGAAGACCCCAGAGTTCTCAGCCTGAACACTGGGCTATCTGGAATTATTCACAGGTTGGCGTCTGTGCAGAGAATACTCATGAAGCGTGGGGTCGATCCCTTGGTGCCACTGCTAGGACTTCAGTAGGGCGGGTGCTCAAGGGCGCCCCCAAGTTTTGAGCCATAGGCCCAGGATGGTGTGTCTGTGAATGGTACCCACTCAGGCAGTCACACACATAATGATTGATGCCTGATCTCCCTTATGTCTGATCCTCTCCCCTCCTCGTGTCTTCCCTCCTTTCCTCTTGACCTCCCACCACCATCTCTTTGTAAATTCCCCTCCAGATTCTGACGTGGAGATTGTCTTGGAGCTCTTTGTAAATAAGACCACAGCCACCCAGCTCAACTCAGGTGAAGACAAGATTGAGGACATTCTGGTTTTGCACTTGGATAGGGGGAAGGATTACTTTTTGTCTGTGACTGGGAACTACCTGCCCAGTTGCTTCGGATCACCCATCCATACGTTGTGCTACATGAAGAAGCCAATCTTGCACCTGCCCCTTGAAACTATTAGAGAACTGGTGAGTTGCTTGCTGCAGAAAGCATCTTAAACTGTTGGGCAGCCAAGCCAGTCAAACAGGATACTCCTATGCACTCCTTCTATAGGACCAGATTTAGTTTTGGGGCCACGCTTGGCAATGCCCAAGGCTCACTCCTGGCTTTGCACTCAGGGATCACTCCTGGCAGTGCTAGAGGGACCATATGGGATGCTGGGGGGAGCAATCCTGGGTTGGGGGCATGCAGGGCGAATGCCCTACTCACTGTACTATTGCTCTGGCCCCTGGTTTCATTGTTGTAAACAACAATGAGTTATTGCTTCTCGTGGCCTCTGACGTGGGCAGGGTAGGGAGTCTTCTGCTCCTGCACAGGCTCATTGGTGCAGATACAATCAGAAGCAGCAGGTCATGGGGCCAGCCCAGATTCCTGGGGAGGGAAAACTTCTCAATGGGAAAAGCTGCACCTCATGGCTCAGTCTTTGAAACAGCGCAGTAGAAATACCCACTCTGCCTGGCAAGATAATGAAGCTTCTGGACAATAGGAACATCATTATTTTTTAATTATTATTATTATTCATGATTTTTTTTTAGAGATGGGGCACACCTGGCAGTGCTCAAGATTATTCCTGTCTCTGTGCTCAGGAGTGATTGATCTGTGGTGGTGCTTGGGGCACCATGTGTGGTGTGGTAATTTGAACCAAAGTCAGTGCATGCAAGACAAGAGCCTTAACCCTTGAACTGTCTCTCCAGCCCCTCTTTGTTTTTCCATTAAAAAAAATTGTTTTTTATTTTTGGTCTCCCCACAAAAGTGCTTGAGGGCCTTGAGGTACCCAGAAGTTGAACTCAGGACTCACCACATGTGAGGTATGTTCTAGGCTTAGTGCTATCTCCCTGGATTTATTTCTTCATTTATTTATTTTGGTTTTGGGGCCACACCTAGCTGTGCTCAGGGCTTACTCCTGGCTGTGCTCAGGGGACCACACGGGATGCCAGGGATGAACCTGAGTCAGCCACATACATGCAAGGCAAATGCCCTACCTGCTATATTGTCCTCCTGGCTCTTGTTTTAAAAAAAAATAATAAATTCTTTTGGTTTTTGGCTGTGCTCAGGAATCAGGATCTGTATGTGGTGCTGGTGATCAACCCTGTTTAACAGTGTACAAAGCGAGCACCCTGCCCACTGAATAGTCTAGAAGGCCCCTGCTTCTTTGTTAAAAAATCCTTGAGGCAGAGCAACAGTATGTAGTGTAAGGCCTTGCATGTGGCTAACCTGGCTTTGATCCCCGGCATCTCATATGGTCTCTTGAGCATCACCAGGAGTGATCCCTGAGCACAGAGCCAGGAGTCAGTCCTGAACACTGCCTGTTGTGGGCCCCACCACCACCACCCCACCAAAAACAAATATCATCACTTTGTTGTTTATAGTCCTGAACTAAATTTTCTGAGATTCTAAAAGACTTATGGGTCTTACAGCTTGCAGCAGATTTTTTGACTTTATTTTTATCCTGTAGGAAACACGTTTACAATAGTGTTAGCATTTGTTGTTTGGGTGTATTCGGTGACCACACCTGACAGTAGGTATGCTCTATTTATAAGGGCTTCCCAAGCAGTACTTAGGAGACCCCCGGCCCTGCCTAGTGATTCTTGGCCAGCTATTCAATTTGAGTACTGAGGGCCAATGCTGTGTGGACTGTGTAGTGCCCAGAATTGCTTGAGCCACCCTGGGGGTTCCTGGGGGCTTGCAGCACTGCACCTGTTGATGTTCAGGGGACCTTATGGTGCTAGGGATCAAACGGGAACAGCCAGTTTGCAAGGCACAGGACTTAACTACCTTATTTTCTCTCAATCCCCTGGTTTTGGTTTTGTTTTTTTTGGTTGGTTTATAGGCCACACCCTATGTGCTCAAGGTTTACCACTGTCTCTGTGCTCAGGGATAACTCCTGACCAACTCAGGAGATCATACGGGATGTCAGAGATCATTGAACCTGGGTCAGCCCTGTGCAAGGCAAACACCCTATCCACTTAAGGCCCCTTAAGCCCCTTCTTTTTAAAAATACTTTTATTTTTAAAAGTTAGAGATTCTGGGCCAGGTATGTGGCTGAAAGGTGAAGTAAATACGTGGGTTTATACATGGCAACACACACACACACACAGACACACAAACACACACACAGTTAGGGACTCTTCAACTTTATTCTCTTCATTATATTATTAAATGAAAACAGATTTCAACAAGGAGAGTGAGTTTTCAGAACTCACTTGGTGAGTAAATATTCAACCTGGAGCTTATTTTTTTTTTTCCTAAGGTTGTGCCATTTTTTAATCACACCACACAGGCCCTGGGTTTTTTGTTTGTTTGTTTTTTGGGCAGGGCCAGGGTAAGCACATCTGGAGGTGCTTGGGTTACTTCTGGCTCTTCACTTAGGAATCACTTCTGGAAGTTCTTGGGGCCACGTGTGATGCCAGGGATTGAACCTGGGTCAATGCATGCAAGACAAATGCCCTTCCTGTTCTGCTTTCTCTCCAACCCTTGGCCCTGGTTTTGACAGTGAATTGCTATAGACAGGATCATTTTTCTAAGAAGATGATGCCTAATTCTCTTGCTTCATTGAAATGTCTTATAATACCCTCCCAACTTAAAAAAAAAAAACAATTTTCAGACATCACTTTTTTTTTCTTTTTGGGTCATACTCGGTGATGCTCAGAGGTTACTCCTGGCTCTACATTCAGGAATCACTCCTCACAGTGCTCAGGGGACAATGTGGGATGCTGGGAGTTGAACTCGGGTCGGCTGCATGCAAGGCAAACGCCCTACCTGCTCCAACCCCAAGACATCACTCTTGTATCTTGATTATGCCCCTTACTGTGATTTGGGGCTGTGGAGTGTTTGCTTAGGGTAATTGAAATGCTTCTTCTCTTCTTCCATAATTTATTGATGGTGTCTTGTCTGCATGCCTGGCAGAACTTTCACTGGCTGGCCTTTTTACCACCCTTTTTATTTCCTTTCAGACTCTGATGCCACTTCGGACTGAAGATAATGGGAATGCATCAGAGAAACCCCTAGAAATCCCCAAGGAGCTCTGGCTAATGGTTGATTACCTGTATCGGAAAGCCATGGATCAGGTAGGAGGGTGGTTAAGGAGCCAGACCTGAGTGAAGTCCCAGGGAACCTTCCCTCCCCATGGGAAGTGACCGGAGGGCAGGGAAGGCTCCTGCACCAATGCTGTGAGATCTGCTCTTACATACAGTATCGATGACCCCCATACGTGGCAGCCTTGTACAGGGTGGCATGTGCCCTCTGCTGGCCTCTGGGCCCTCCCAGGGAGGAAACCAGCTGGAGTCTTTTTTTTTTTTTAATGTAGGACTATTGCTATTTATTCGGCCATCGATTAGGCTGATTGAATTGGGCATGAACTCCACCTTACTTTTTTTTTTTCCTTTTTTATAAATTTATTTATTGAATCACTGTGAGAGCAGTTACAAAGCTTTTGGGTCTAAGTCTCAGTCATACAGTGATGAAACACTCGTCCCTTTAGCCCATTTTCCACCTCCAAAAACCCCAGTATACCTCCCTATCCCACACGCTCCCCCTACCTGTGGAGCAAATGATTTCCACATTACTCTCTCTATACTTTGATTACATTCAATATTTCAACACCAGACCCACCATTATTATTTGGGATTTTACCCCAACACTCAGATCTGCCAAAAAGACAACTGTAGACAATTTGTTTTCTATTGCTGATTATGAATAACATATGATGTCACGCGGCCGCAGTAGTGGCCACATGATTTTGGAATTCCGAAATTTTAACAATTTTAAATCTGGAGGGATTTCTGACAAAACCTGCTGGGTTCTGAGATTTGTTTCCGAGTCTCTGGGATTATGGCCATTAAGCAGCTTGATCAGGAGCAGAGAGGCTGTGTATGGGCGGCTATCCGGGGTCCGGTTGGGGCTGGGAGGAAAGGGCTGGCTCCAGTCCCATCCCATGAGGCCCCATGTGTCTCATCACTGTGGGCCCAAACCTGACTGTCCAATGGCCTCTGGAGGATAGCAGCCACCAAGCCACCAAGGGGGAGCAGGCGGAGGGACAGCACCCTTTTCCCCCTGAGGTGGCCCGGCAACAATAACCTACTGCGGGGACCGGACGCGTTTCTGCCAAAAGCCGCTGGGTTCTGAGACCTGCCTCTGAATCTCTGGTATCCTGGCCATTAAGCAGTTCAGTCAGGAACCAGAGAGGCCATGCCTCCAGTTATATAGCTGAGCCGGAGGTGGTTTGTGAGTGTGTCTCCCATATACCTAACTTTTGGCCATTTATTCTCTTGGTAAACTTGGCTCCAAGTTGTTGGGGTCTGGCCAAAGGCACAGCAGCAATATTGGGGTATCTAGAAGTCTGAAGGCACCATCAGGCTGCTGATGCACTCGCCTCACATGTACAGATGGCGGCACCATTATCCCCCTGCTGGAGTCTTTGCACAGTGTCAGCTGGCTCCAGGAATGGGAGAGGCTAACTTGTTGACTAGCCACCGAGTGGCAGATGGAGCACTGGTCGGTGACCGAGTCAGGAAGTCTGACTTCTACAGTGACTTGGACAAGTTTCCTGGGTCCAGTCTGTTTCACAGACTCATTTTTTTTAACCTTATTTAAATATCCCGATTTACAAAGTTGTTCATAATACAGCTGTTTCAGGCATTCCATGTTCCAACAACAATCCCACCATCAGTGTGACCTTCCCTCCATCATCGTCCCTAGTTTCCAACTTATCCCCAAGCCTGCCCCTAGGCAGGCACAAGATTGTTTAGTTTTTTTGTTTGTTTGTTTGTTTTTTGTTTTTTTTGCTTTTTGGGTCACACCCGGCGGTGCACAGGGGTTACTCCTGGCTCATGCACTCAGGAATTACTCCTGGCGGTGCTTGGGGGACCAGATGGGATGCTGGGAATCAAACTCGGGTCAGCCTCATGTGAGGCAAACACCCTACCCGCCGTGCTATCGCTCCAGCCCCTTTTTAGTTTTTATCACTTGTTAAAACACGCACTAAAAAATTACTCTTATATTAATAATTCCTTTTGTCGTGGGGGCTGTTGCTTAGATATATGGGATGGCACAGGCATGCTGGCTCTTTGAGGTAGCACAGGTGCTGGCTCTGAGGTTGCACACGCATGCGGTCACAGACTCATTTATACAAGGAAGCCCCAGGGTGGTTATTATAAACTGTTGTCTGTCTACTACCGCTCTACCATTTTGAAGTCACATGTGGCCTTATGATAGATTCTTTTCACCTTTTCACCTTTTCCTCGGTCACATTTATTGTGTGTGTACCAAACACTCTTCAAAGAGACATCAGATACTTAGTCAGGGTCCCAAAAGTGAGGATGAAGCAGGGAGCAGAGTTGGGATTTAAACCCAGGGCACCAAGCTGTAGAGGTCACCTTCGTAGATGCTGGGTTATTTTGTTTTCTTTTTGCTGCTGCTGTTTTCCCTGTAGTGCTTCCAGATGTAAACTCTGAGAAATACATTTTACATTGATGTTAACACAGTTATGCAACACTATGTCATTTTATAAAACAATTTAAAGTATCCTAGGACTGATAGGAATATATTTTACTGACATCGTCTTGTTTTCACAAACACGGAAGTTTGTGAAAAAGGATGCCTTTTTACTTTTTTCCATCTTATCATAGATTTTTGTTTGGATTTTTGTTTGTTTGGGGGTCACACCCAGCAGTGCTCTGGGCTTACTCCTGACAGAATTGAGGGAACTATAAATATATATATATGTGTGTTTTTTTCTTCTTTTTCTTCTTCTTTTTGGACCATACCCAGCAGTACTCAGGGGTTACTCCTGGCTCTGCACTCAGGAATCACTTCGACGTTGCACAAGGGACCATATGGGATGCCAGGGATTGAACCTGGGTCAGTACGTGCAAGGCAAGCTCCTTACCCACTGTACTATAACTCTGGCCCCTATAGTTTTATATTTTCTTGAGGTCTTCTTTTTCTTTTCCTTTAAAAAAATTTATTTTTAAGCTACACCCAGCAGCTCAGGGGCTAATCCTGCTTGATGCTGGTGTCACGTCCATCAGTGCTGACGACCATGTGGTGCTGGGGACATAATCTGGACCACCTGCATACAAAGCATGTACTCAGCCCTTCAAGTTATGCCCATGATTCCTCAGGTTTTCTTTGGTCATTTTTTAAAAAAATTTTTTGGCAGGAGTGGGTTAGGGGTGGGTTGGGGTATGTGTGAGGTGTTGAGCCATGCCCAGCGATGCTCAGGAGTTATTCCTGGCTCTGTACTTAGGAATCACTCCTATATTCGGGGGATCATATGGGATTCAGGGGATGGAATCTGGGTTGGCAAGACAAATGCATTTCCTGCTATACTATTGCTCTTACCCTTAATCATTTTTTAAATTTTTTTTTTTTTTTTTGCATTTTGGGTCACACCTGGCAATGCACAGGGGTTACTCCTGGCTCTGCACTCAGGAATTACTCCTGGCAGCGCTCAGAGGATCATATGGGATGCTGGAAATTGAATGCGGGTTGGCCGTGTGCAAGGCGAATGCTGTGCTGTCACTCCAGCCCCCATTTTTTTAGTTTTTTTTAAAAAAAATATCCTGGATACAGTGATGGCATATTAAACAACACATATTTATGTTAAGGACTATTTTTGTTTTTTTGACTCTTTGGGTCACACCCGGCAATACACAGAGGTTACACCTGGCTCTGCATTCAGGAATTATCCCTGGCGGTGCTCAGGGGACCATATGGGATGCTGGGAATTGAACCCGGCTAGGCCATGTGCAAGGCAAATGCCCTATCCACTGTGCTATTGCTCCAGCCCCAAGGACTATTTTATTTATTTTATTTTATTTTATTTGCTTTTTGGGTCATACCCAGTGACGCACAGGGGTTATTCCTGGCTTTGCATTCAGGAATTACTCCTGGCAGTGCTTAGGGGACCATATGGGATGTTGGGAATCGAACCCGGGTCGGCCGTGTGCAAGGCAAACACCCTATCCACTGTACTATCACTCCAGCCCCCCCCCCTTTTTAAAATTTTGTTTTTTTTAATGTAGGAGTATTTTTAAATTTTTTAAAATATCCTGGGTACATTGATGGCATATTAAACAACACATATTTATGTTAAGGCCTATTTTATTTTCATTTTTTTAATTTTTAAAAAATAAATTTAGAGCCAAATCCAGTGATGCTCAGGGCTTACTCCTGGCTCTGTACTCAGGGATTACTTCTGGTGGGTTTTAGAGTGACAATGGGTGCCAGGGATTGAACCTTGGCTGGGCCATGTGTAAAGGAAGTATCCTATACACTGTACTATTGCTCCTGTCCCAATCCTTTTTGTTCTTTTTTGGATTACACCCTGCAGTGTTGAAGGCTTACTATTGCCTCTGTGCCCAGGGGTCACTCTTAGTGGGATTCTAGATACTATATGGGGTATTAGAGATGTAACCTGTGTTAACTGCATGCAGGCACCCTACCCACAGTACTACCTCTCCAGGCCCTGGTTAGTTCTTTTAAGTTAGTATAACTGCCTTTAAATTTTTCTTGATGTTGGATTGTAATGTATCTCGTTTTGTGATATAGGTCTTATCACCATAAACACCTATTGCAGGCATATCAGGGAAGGTCTAACAAGATGAATTAGTCTCACAGGCCTAAATCAGATTGTCTCACAGGGTGATTCATAGGTCTCATTACCCTGTTTCTTGTGGCACTCAGTTGATGAGTACATTTCTAGATTAGGAAATGATTGCTGATTTTCTGAGATACTATCTTGTTATGACTTTCTACTTTCTTGCAGGAAGATCTGTTTCAACAGCCAGGCATAAGGTCGCATTTTGAGCATATCAGGGATTATTTGGATAAGGGAGATCCTGAAGACCTCGACTGTATCCATGTGTGTGTGTGCAGGAGGTGGGGGTCAGGGGTGGAGCAGGAGAAAGAGAAAGAGAGAAGGAAAGGGGAAGGGTATAAGAGATGAGAAAAGAGAAAGAATATACAATTCGAGGGCTTTGCTTAGGGACTGCTTCTAGCTAAAAGCTCCAGTTTTGACCCATTGGTGCTGAGGGACCATGCAGTGCCCAACATGAAACCCAGGTCTCCTGCATGCTATGTATGCAACCCAACCTGAGCAGAGAATTTTTTACCTGTTTGGTTTTGATTTTGGGGTCACACCCAGCAGTGCTCAGGGCATAGGCCTGGCTCTGCATTCAGGGATTACTCCTGAGGAGCTCAGGGGACCATATGGGTGCCACAACCCAGATAAACGCCCTATCTGCTATACTATCACTCACCCCTTTTTTTGTTTGTTTTCTTTTTGTTTTGTTTTGAGTCATACCCTATGGTGCTCAGGGCTTACTCCTGACTACACTCAGGGATCACGCCTGTTGGGGCTTGACAAATTCATCAGCCACATGCAAGGCAAGTGCCTTACCTGTCGTATGATCTCTTTAGCTCCAAGAATAATATTTTAAGGCTCAAAATTTAAGGCTCAGAATCTAATATTGTGACCTCAGATATCATTCTTTAAGACTATTTTGGGGGCAGGGGCTGAAGTGATAACACAGGTAGATAAACGGGTAGGACGTTTTCCTTGCAAGCGGCCAACCCAGGTTCAATCCCCAGCCTCCGATATGGTCCTCCAAGCACAACCAGGAGTAATTCATGAGTGCAGAGCCAGGAGTAACCCCTGAGCATCACTGGGTATGACCTAAAAAGCAACAACAACAACAAAAAGACTACTTCTTGGGCTGATCCCATGTCAGTCTCCAGCACCACATATGGACCTCACAGCCCTCCCAGGAGTGACTTCTCAGCACAGAACAAGGTGTAAGTTCTGAGCACCATTGAGTGTGGCCCCCAAACAATAAAAACAGAAGAAGGCAGGAGCTGGAGCAATAGTACAGCGGGTAGGGCGTTTGCCTTGTACATGGTGGACCCGGGTTTGATCCCCAGCATCCCATATGGTTCCCCGAGCACCACCAAGAGTAATTCCTGAGTGCAGAGCCAGGAGTAGTAACCCCTGTGCATTGCTGGGTGTGACGCAAAAAAAACAAAACAAAACAACAAAAAACCGAAGACTTTACAGCGTGTAGCAACAGGGACTCCGGTAGCTCAGTGCAGTTGAGCGTGGCCTTGTGAAGATGTTACGTTGGGATCCTGACTGGGCAGGCAGCATTCGGGGCTTTTTCCTAACCCTGGGCCGCAGTCTCACCTGTTCCTTAACGCTGGGCCCAAAGCTGTTAGCAATCACTCCGTCGCTGAAGCCTTGCTGCTTTTCCTGGAGAGCCTGCCAGAGCCCATCATCTGTTACAGTGCCTACCATCACTGCTTGGAGTGTGCGGGCAACTACCCGGCAAGTAAACAGGTGAGAGGGGGTGTGGAGTGTCCAGGTGTACAAGAGCAGAGGGGACCCAGAGCCTCACGTGGTGTGTCTTTGAAACCCAGCTCTTCTTTCTCTTCCCAAACCTGTTCTTCTTTCCCTGTCCCTTTTTACTTTTCATGTACCATCCTTAACTCCCAGTGACTCAGAAACCTGAGTCACGGCTGACTCCCCCACCTTCCCCTCCCACATGCCCAAACTCTTGATTTGGCACCCATCTTCGTCCTTCCATTCTTATGCCACTTTCCTTGGTTCAAGGTTTTGCGTTCAGGCTCTCCCTCTGCTGATCTGTTTTGTGTGTTCTGAACCTCCCATCCTGTCACTATTAGCCAAACACCATGCTTGGTAGCCTAGTTCCAGTTAATGATTTTTTTTTTAAGCAAAGAAGACATTTTATGGTCTAGCAGCTCAGACATATAGCAGGCCATGTCATATTCATCTCGGAAACATGCTAATAATTCAGGTACCAGAGCCTCACCACCCCACAGCCACTAACTTGGAATCTCTCTTGGGATATATTTTGTGCAAGTTTCCCAAGTGATTCAGATATACTAATAACTGAAGCGCTCACTGAATTCTAGTTTTATCAACTCTTTCCGGTTAGCACACATCTGAATAGCTCTACTTCTGCCAAAATTTTTTTTGTTTTTGTTTTGTTTTGTTTTGTTTTTGGGTCCCACCTGGCAATGCTCAGGGGTTACTCCTGGCTTTGTACTCAGGAATCATTCCCACTGGGATTATATGGAATGCTGGGGGTTGAATCTGAGTCGGCTGCATGCAAGGCAAGCTACCTTCCCTATTGTACTCTCATTCTTGCCTTGCAAATTCAATATTGTTTTATATTAAAAGCCCAACTTAAAGGGCCAGAGAGAGAGAGAGTACTGTGGTTAAGGTGGTTGCCTTTCATGTGGCTGACCCTGGTTTTATCCCCAGTACAGAATATGGTCCCCCAAGCACCACCAGGAGAGAGGCCAGGGCACAGAGTCAGGAGTGAGCCCTGAGCTCTGTTGGATGTGGGTACCTCCACCCCCCCAGACCCAACTAAAGTGTCCTGTTTTCTCATAAGTCTACTGCAAGAACATAGTAGTTTGGTGTTTTCTTTTCTTTCTTTCTCTTTTTTCTTTTCTTTTTTTTTTTTTTTTTGGTGGAGGAAGGGCCTTGAGGAGATTGGAAGGGGACTCTGGGCCCTTGTTTGGGGCCATATGTGCGTTTGGGGCCAATATGTGTGCTGCGGATCAAACCAGAGTTAGTGACATGCAAAGGCAAGTGCCTAAACCCCTGTTGTAGTTGTTTGGCCCCAGAAATTTGGCTTCTCATGTGCTGTAGTGCTTGATTTGCACTTCTCTTTTGACACTCTTGCCAGGTGTAAGGGATCAGGGTTTCTCTGTAGGTTTTTTTTATGGGGGGCGGGGTAAGGGGAGGACTCACTCAGTGATGTGCAGGGGTTACCAGGAGTTTCTCCTGGTGTTGCTTTGGGGGACTATGTGGGATAGAATGCAGGTGGCTGCTTTGCAAGGCAAACGCCCTACCCTCCGTACTATCGCTCTGACCCATCTCTGTCGTCTTAGTCAACTACTTGGACTATGTACTCACTTCCTGGACTGTAGTAGGCTTTCGACACATTTGTATGAACAAAAAGACAAATTCCAATTCTTCCTCTTTTAGGTTATTTCTACTCTTCCCGAAGTCCACAGAAACGTCTTCAACTACTTGATGGCATTTTTGCAAGAACTGCTGAAAAATTCAGCAAAAAATCATTTGGATGAGAATATTCTGGGTAAGCAGTTGAGTGTTTGGCAAGCCTCTCTGCAAACTACAAGATTAGCAAGGAGAAATGTGGTGGAAGAAGACCCCCAAATCCTCTGCAATAGAACTAAAACCCAAGCTTCAGGCACTATTTGCCCTCTGATACTTTAATATTCAAGTAGAAAATACTGTTTTGGGTCATCCTTCCCCCACGCCTGGCAGCTAAAGAATAAGGGGGTGCTTCTTTTGCTGAGTCATTTCTTTTCTGTGTTTTCCATGCAGCCAGCTTATTTGGCAGCCTACTGCTTCGAAACCCAGCTGGTCACCAAAGGCTTGATACGGCAGAGAAGAAGAAAGCACAAGAATTTATTCACCAGTACCTCTGCAACTCACCCTGAGCCCCTCTAGCCTCGCCCTAGTCGACTTGCAGCCTTCAGTTACCAGCCCCTCCTGTTTCTCAAGTGCTGCCTGCAGAGGATGTGAGGCCCCTAGGACACAGGAGTAGCAGCTGGGGATTCTTGAGCCCCTCCTCGAGACTCTCCTCACGGCTGTCATTCAGTGCTACTGTGAGCTTCGAAGATACAGGGGAAGCCCACCAGAATAAAACTGACGTTCAGTGTTCAACTTTAGTTATTTAACAAATTGGATAGATAATCCCCCTCCTCCCACCCCTCTTTTTAATTTAAAAAAATGTTGAAATAACTACTCAGTTCTTCCAGCCTGCCTCTAGGGAATATTAGTAGTTCTCTAGTTTGGGCTGAGCTTCCCAGGATCAGATAGTTGAATGAACTTTGGAGTCCTGAAGGGAGAATGAGTTGGATACTAAGAATGCAAGAGGAAGGTGCTGGGTAAACAGGTCACAGTCCATCCCCCCTCAGATGTGCCTGGCACCATTTGAGGACATTTATGTAGGCATATGCAAACCATCTTGTTTCCTACTCAGCTGGGACTCTGGACTAGCCACTCACTTCGTCCCCCTGAAGGCAATACAGTGGCTTGAAAATGAAAGCATCGAAGAATCTGGTGTTCTGTTGAAACAAGTGGGATTTTCTGAGTCAACAAATCCTTTAAATTGTATATGACATACTCCTCGTGTATATTTTAATGATAAATGTATTTTTAACAGTAGTGGTTGCTGCGGTTTTTTTTCTTTTTTTTTTGAGAAGGAAGCTCTCAGCAGCTGGACTTTTGTGGCTTAAGAATAGGGACAGCTGGTCTGGGGCTAAGGAGGTATTTGCAAAGGGCTGGTGCACATACTTTGCATTTGGGAGGCTGAGGTTTGATCCCTGGCACGTCATGTTTCTCACTCAGCAACCCTCAAGCTCCTTGTGGGGAGTAGCCCCTGCGCACTGCAATGTAGTTCCCCCACTCATGCATGCAAGTCTTGTGAGAGGTGGCCAACGGTGACTGACTACATTTTTCTTCTTTTGGGGAAGCAGGGGGCCACACCCAGCAGTGCTCAGGACTTACTCCTGGCTCTGCACGCAAAGATCACTCCTGGCAGTGCTTAGGGGATCATATGGGGTCCCTGGGATTAAACCTGGGTAGGACATATGCAATGCAAACGCTTTACCCCCTGTACCACCACTGTGGCCCCTGATCACATTTTTCAAGCAAGAAATGAGTAGCCATGGCCTGATCCTCTTGCCCCAGACCATGTATGTGTGCATTGGGGGGGGGGGGTGTTATCCTGTACTGAATATTCTGAGAATGAGTTTATTGGAAAAACAGTCTATGTCAACGGGAGTCTAGCAAGCAGCCTGATCTTACCCCGAAAAAAAAAAAAAAAGAATCTTATAATGCTCTTCTTAAACGAATTGCTCAAGTGAAAAGATAAATCTGCTGGGGCTGTGGCTCAGTGATAATCTCATGTTCCTTGCATTTATGTGTAAGGTTCTGGATTCAATCCGAGGCATCACTCCAAAAGAAAAATAAGTCTTTGACCTCTTAAAAACTTAGGCAGGAAATTCCTTATTATTATTATTTTTTAAGAGCGAGAGGAAAAAAAACACCATCACAACAACACCGACTTCATCGAGGGTACGCTCCCAAGAGCGCTGATTCTAGCGCTGGTGCCCCCCGAAGCCCCTGGGCGTGAAGGTGCCTCCGAGCGGCCAGTAGGCTGCAATCGGTTAGGGAGCGCAATGGCCAGTAGGTGGCGTTGGCCGGCCCGAGCGCGAGTTCGGTGGAAGCCCACGGTCCTCCGCGGGGGGGAAAAACTTGGGCCAGTGAGTGCGGGCGCCGGCGTGAGGAAGAAGGGCGCCGGGCGTCCGTGGAGCGCGTGGGAGCGGGTAAGCGGGGACGGGGGCCTCCGGCGGGGCGGGACCGCCGCTGGCCGCGCCACTCGGGTCCGTCTTCCTTCCGCGCCTGCGGTCACTGCCGGCGAGGGGAAGCGGGGGTCACCGCGAGCACCCCGGAAACGTCAGGCAGCCTTCCCGGCTCGCCCCGGCCGCCCGGAGCCGGCTCTGTAGTGGCCAGCTAGGGTCCGGCCCGTGGCGGCCGGGACCGCCAGGGCTCGGAAGACGAGCCGGGCCGCGGTTACTTGAGCGGAGGCGCCGCGGGCTCCACAGCCCGCCATTGACGTCCGCTGCCGGCCGCCCGGCTGACGGCCCGACCCCCGGCCGCGGGGGCGCTCCGCCGGCCGTCGCCGAGCCGGGACCGCCTCGGAGGCGGGACCTCCCGGCGCCGCCCCGCCTCCCCCGCGCGCTGATTGGAGCACGGAGTTCACCCCCACGCCGCCTGAACCAACCAGGAGCGCGAGCGGGAGGCGGAGCCGCTGACCCTCTTTTCCTCCGGAAAGCGGAAGCGGAAGTGACGTTCGGGGAAGGTGGGGGCAATCATGGTGCCGCTGGGGAGGGGAGAAGCTGCCGCTGCCGCTGTTGCCGGGAGCCGCGGAGGTAAAAGGCGAAACCAGACGCGGCCTGGGGCTGGGGACTAGCCGGGGATGCGGGACTTGGGCTCCCTCCCGAAGCGTTTTCCAGCGGAGGCTCCAGGCGGGTCGCCACAGGGACCCCACCCCTCCTCTGTTTCCATGGGGATGGGTATTCAGCCCCCCTCTCCTGTTTCCATGGAGACCCGGACCCTGCCCCTCTTCGCCCGGCTCCGAGCCCCCCAGCCTGCCCTGGGATTTTCCCGAGGAGCCCTGGCTTGCGGGCTGTTCCGCACCGGTTCCTTGTCCAGCCTGCTCTCAAGGTGCTCCGCTCGTGCTCGCCTCTCCTCATCCTCGAGCCTCCGGGTCTTGTTTGTTTCGGACAGTTCGGTCGCCGCGTTGCCTCCCCCGGTGACGGGCAGCCGAGTGGGGCCCCCGGGCGCTCTGATCTCTCGTCTCGGACGCGGCGAAACGTGCATCTCCCGGGTTGCGTAAGCCGGAGTGAGGGTCGGACGGGCTCCTCCCGGAGCCGCTCCCGTGGCCCGGCGCTCTGGTCCAACTACTTCCCACTGGCCGCCCCGCTGCGTCAGGCTCGCGCGCTTACGGTAAAGTGCACGGCCAGACCGAGAACGAAAAAAAAGCCGTGCGCCGATCATTTCCCCCACTCTTTGTTCGGCCTGCCAAACCCACATTTTGACGAACCTGCGTGCTTGCGGGATCGGAGCAAGAATGCTTCCAAGTTTGACGTTTCTCCCGAGAGAGGGTCTCTTTTCCCGGAGCGCGACGCTTCCCCAGAGAGTGTGCCTGCGAGCCTTTCATTCATTCAGCTGACACCTCCCGATCTAGTAGGTGCAGGAGAGCTGCGGCCAGGAGCCGTAGGAACGAAAATAAGACTCAGTGGCCCTCACCTCAGAGAGCACCCAGTACAAGCATATAGCTGCTGGCGGATCTGAGGTTGTCCTAGGAGATAAAAGGGCAAAGTGATCTTCACTAGTTTGTGCTCGGCCCTTTTTCCTGTCTGGAAAGGAGGGGACGAATTCACGTGTGTTTCCCCTACCGCTGTCGGGTGCCGCGACAGTCTCTCTCACGTCCCATAACACCTTTAAGAAAACAGGAATTGCCAGTCACACTTTATGCATAAGAGAAATGAGGCGCAGAAAAATTACCCAAGTAGTCAGTGGCAAAGTGGGAATTATGGGTAGGTTACCTGCCTCCAAAAGTCTGCTTCTTCTAACTTTAAGAGGCACAGCAACTTAGCCTTGAAACGGTTTAGCCTTTTATCCCCTTTGAGTATTTTGACCGACCTGCAGATTGTTTGGCAGTCGGGACATTTGGAAGGTCTCTGAACTCTTGCTAGGGTTTCCTTCCGTTTCTGAAGGGCCTTGCTTCTTGCAAAGGATTTGATGATTTCCAGAGTTAAAAGTTATTCCCAAGGAAGGTGACTTTCTCATGTACTTGGCTTGCTCTTGAAGTGAGAAGAAAGTGAGCGAGCCCTGGGGTTGCTGAGAAGATCCCTGGGTTCTGCGGCATGGCTCTAACTCTGACTTTGTTCTGTTGCAGACAGGTCATTACCTTTTTATTTCTCACAATTGAGCTGAGCAAGATTGAACCATGGGGGAACACAGTCCAGACAACAACATCATCTACTTTGAGGCAGAGGAAGATGACCTGACCCCCGAAGACAAGATGCTCAGGTTTGTGGATAAAAACGGACTGGTGCCTTCCTCATCTGGAACTGTTTATGATAGGACAACTGTTCTTATTGAGCAGGACCCTGGCACTTTGGAGGATGAAGATGATGATGGACAGTGTGGAGAACACTTGCCTTTTCTAGTAGGGGGTGAAGAGGGCTTTCACCTAATAGATCATGAAGCGATGTCCCAGGGTTATGTGCAACACATTATCTCACCAGATCAGATCCATTTAACGATAAACCCTGGTTCCACACCCATGCCAAGAAATATTGAAGGTGCGACCCTCACCCTTCAGTCGGAATGTCCGGAAACAAAACGTAAAGAAGTAAGTAAAGCGATGGGCGAGGACCCGTTGTGGTTTTGGGAAAGTCCCTGCACTACTCTAGTCAACAGTTTATCAGGGACTATGGAGTCTCTGGTCTTAGGGCCCACAGTGACTTTGCTTGTTGACCATATATTTGCTTGTGTGTGTGTGTGTGTGTGTGTGTGCGCGCGCGTGCGTGTTATGTGACTGCTTTCTGGAATTTTTGGTTTGTATGGCCACATTGAAATTTGGGGAAACTATTATAATTTTTCAATACTTCTCCTCGAATAAGTGAAATAGAAACATCACAAAGATAAATTCATGTTTTTGGCATCAAAGTAATTAGACTTGGCATGTATCTGGGTTGTGTATAAATGATTTGTTTTAGAGATGAATAGTTCTGGGAGATGCTTCATTTATTTAATGAATGTTTAATGAGTAATAAAGGCTAGCTTTTATAAATTCAGGCAAGAGACATAAACAACAGCAGATTATCTAAAACATGTTTTTATGTTCATATTTAAGCTAATGTGAATAAAGTAATGCTTGTCACAGTGCCTTGGAAACCAAAGTTTTGTACAAATTGTACTAGTGGTGATTATTAGCAGAATAAAAGAGGTAGTTCAAAGGTAGTGACATACTTTATCTAGGAACTGTCTACAGGTCAATTAGGAAAAATAAATCACTGGTAATTGCAATGCCAGGAACTCAATAAAAGCTATTACCAACAGACCTGGGTGGTTGAACAAAATATTTTTCCTTTTTGTTGTAATTAAGATAATGAAACTGGAGAATTTTACTATTAAATCTAAGGCATATGGCTTTGCCTTTGCTAACTCCAGAATCTCAGAGCTAGAAGGACCCCTAAAGAGACCATCTTGTCCTACTTCCCACCTCATGCAGGAATCTCTCTACAGTATCTTTAACACAATTCATCTGCTCTCTGCTTGAGCGCTTGCAGAATGACGCGAGCACAGTGTTTCACAGCTCAGCCTAATACATTTGTTGGCCAGCTCTAATTATTAGAAAGCTTTTACTTCTATAGAGCCAAAATCTGCCTTCCTCAGCTGCTTCCCACTGGTTCTAGTTCTGCCTTGCTGAACAATAGCAAGTTAAACTTGCTTCCTGCAGGTCAACCAATCAGATATTTAAGGATTTTGGTCTCTTTTTCATTTTCTCATACAGTCTCAACACTTCCTTTAGCTTAAATATCTAAGACCTTTCCCCTAGTTTCTCATCGGCCTGGTCAGCTTTATGTTTT